TGGCTTTGCCCTCCCCAAAACATGCTATAAATTCTGTATAGAAAGCGTTCCTTTGTCCAATTCTCCTCACTGGATTGAACTTGGTACGGCTGTGATCTTAGATGGAAGGTTTCTTCTACTGTTTTCCTTTGCATGCTAATAACATTGAAAACTAACAGAGAACAGCAACATACGAGAAAATGTTTCTTTTAAAGGAAATTATGGTATCAGCAGGCATTCCGTAATGATACTATAATGTGATCAGTTGCACTGCACTCCTTTCAGGTTTAGGTTCTTAAACACAGCTTGATTTTTCCTTAGCAATTTCCTATCGAGAAAAGCTCTGGCTTCAAGACAAGGGAATCTCACTTATAGAAAAATTATATTTACTGCTAGACCTGCAACATCTGTCCCAATGATTCAGCCAAGAAAAAGCCGTGAGACTGATGATGCAGTGATCCTTACAAACTAAATTAAGTTGCAGGACTCCTTCCAGTGAAACACATTCTCTGCACTGACCATGAGCCACGGTCATTTGAGTCCTCGGATACCTGTACCAAGATCCACAGGGCTTGATCCGTAAGTGTATTTACTGCCTTAAGTCCACTGATTTCAATCACAGCTGAGTACCAAAGCATATTCCTGGACCTGGGCTACAGTTGTTGCATCACTACTTGCTAAGTAAGGAGTTGCTAGAGACATTATTACATTATCACTACAACAAATATTCACTGAATACTAATTCTGTTTTAAACTATTTGTAATGAAATGCAATCTTACCAATCAGCTTTTTACTACAGAACAGTATTTTAAGCATGCACCATCTACAAAGTATCTTGTCTTTTAAACACTTGAACACATAAACAAATAGCTGCAAAATAGCGAGACATCTCAATAGTTGCTAAATTATTCTATGACTTCACTCATCTCATGATGAATAATTCCCCAGTTAGACTTTCATTTTAAAGTATCTGTGGATTTTGTTACTGTCTCTCTTAGTTAAATCTTTCTTGCAGTAGCATCCTAAAATGGCTCTCATGGCCTACTTGAGAACAGACTTGACAATACTAGCATTTATGGATGTAAATTTGAGATAAAAATCACGCTTCCCAAGCCAACACAAACAGATAACACAGCAGTACAAATAATTTTGCTCAATTGCAGCAGTCAGTAGTCTAGATCCTGATCTCCTCTGTGTCAGCAACAGTCTGATGCACTGAAAAAAAAGTCACTTCTAAGTTTCCATCCAGAATAAATTCTGTCCCACTCTGTCTTCAATCAATCAGTAAATTCGTTAAGCAGCCCGTACTGAAGAGGCAGGGCAATCCTCACCCTAAAACAAAAGCCAGTGAAAGTAGGAGTCCTTCCACTGACTTCCGTGACCTTTGGATGAGGCCCTAAACCAGAGAAATCGGAACACTGGAACGATTATATCCTAATTAGCACGATCTCATTGACATTCAGAAAAATCTGCATTGTTCAACAAGAATAGTATCAAGCTAAGTATGTCTAATAATTTCTGAAGACTGCTATCTTGGATATTATTTGACAATCAGCTAGACATCACTTAACATACACTACAACATGACAAATGGGAATGTAGTAACTTCCTCTAAACCCTGTATTACTGCCACTTGAAACACTTTAAAAGGCAAAATTTCACTGCAATTACAATATTCTCTAATCAATATATTCTTTTAAATTCAAAATGTGTACTCCTGCTGCAAGTATTAAGAAATAGATGCTGTTCAAGGAACCATACCAGGCTTTTAGAACCATGAAATCATTTCTACACAGTTCATGGAGATCTATTAAAACAGACACAAAACCCTTTCTCTGGCTGTTCTCCCGAGCACTAGAACATAAAGGCCTCAATTTCGGGGTTATCATGCAGGAAGTCATCCTGTGGCAACGAGCCTTAAGCAAAAGGGAATACCACTGTAGATATAACTCGTCATCTTCTAAGACTGCAAAGATGCTTTTCAGCTCTGATACACAGATGGCTATTGCAACTGATACAGGACTGAAAAGAGAAGCATTTGTACTGTAACACAGTTTTGGAAGAAAACCAGGTGTCTTCCATGTTGGCTTCAGAGAATCTGCATTAATTTGTGAATTCATATTTGTGCAAAGAATGAATACATGAAAACAAATGCAGATGCAGAGCAGATAAAGCAAACTGAAGGGGTATCTTGGGGATACGCCTTTCATACATAGAGAAAACTTTTACATATGTGATGGTACATTTAGGTATTTAAGACTGAACATTTGGAAAGGTGTCCCATGGTTAAGCCTCCTCTGGGATTTTCCTGTAAAATATTTTCATTTTGAATGTCACTTACCAGATTCAACCTCCTCTCTCTGACAGAATCCCTAATCAGAAGATAAATGGATTCTCCCGTGAGCCTCTGGAGAGGGTGATATTCTGCCACAGAAAACTATTCAATCGTTCCTTTTCAAGTGCCGTGCAGGGAGTCCACCTTTCTGCCACTCTCTAGTTAAACATATTTATTCTCAATGCTCTTATAGGTCAGGAAACTTCCTCAGGAAACATCAATGATAAAAAGTGGCCATATCGGTTTAGTCTCTAATGAATAATACTGAGAATGGTCAAATGACAGCGGACATTTGGAGAAAATCAGGCTTACTTGACAGGAAATGAAAAGCAATCAGATGTCAAACTCTGAAGAGAGGAGATGTCAGAGCTATGGAGTTAAAAAAAGAAACTTCCCAAACCGGAACAAAAATGGTTCCATTTAGTCCTCAGCTATGACACATTTTTCTGTGTATCATATTAACTTGAGAGTCAGCCCCAAGTTATTTTTATACCCACAAAAATATATCCCCCAAATTATAATGCCCTGAATGAGTAATATTTCCGTAACACTTTGCAATTGATTAAGGACACCTGTAGCACTGTTATATCCCTGAAGACACCAGCCAGATATTTCCTTTGTAAATTACCAGATAGCTCATGGAAAGTGAGCAGGCGTGATAAATGAGCTGTAGTTTTCTAGACTGCGCTTGTTAACAGATGTATTTACACATTTCACAATCTAACGGTAGGGATGGTGCATGTTACTGCCAAATGTTAGATGAAATGTTATCAAACAAGTCTCCCAACAAATTCCCATCATGTTGACTATTAAGATCAGCCTGCCATGTGTAATTTTTCATGTTTTGTCCTCTATCAAGATTTTTTCAAGCCATTGTTACTATTTTAAGTATCCTTTTCTTACTCACCAACACATGAAAAGTATGTATTTACACGAACAAAGAAATTGCAAAATGCCTGTCTAGAGCCTCGTGCCACTTAAAATTTTTAAAATACTTTGTAAGATTACTTAATAAGTAAATACACACAAAAAAAAAATCACAACAAAACCCTAAATCTGATCCCATTTCTATTTTACACTGCTCTTCAAAGCGCTCTCCCTTTCAGGCAGTGTCAGAGCAATTTTGTCTTGCCTGAGCCAGCTGCTCTGTATCAAAACATCTCACTTCCCGTAAGCAGTTCGACATTAGTGTGTTTGGTGAGAATTAGCAAACTGCTGGACACCACTCCCAAGCCGCTGGCTGGTCAGCCCCAGGTGGTACTGAGTTGTTGCTGGTGACAGTGTAGCCTCAGGCAGAGATTTTAGAGAAATGGGAAGAGATTCCTTGGGGAAGACCCAGATAAGGGCTTACTGGAGAAGTTGTCGTTCCTCTCTGTTTTCTGGAGAGGAACAAGCAGAGCCCGTATTGTGCTGGTCCATTTGCATCTGCTGTACCACATGAAGCAGCTTGTTGGGGTACACTGGGGCAGATGTAGTGATAGCATAAAGAGCCGTATGGTTCGCCCATTAGCATGACCTGAGGCAGTACACGCCTTGTCATATAACCCAGCCCGGACACGTAGGAGCCCCAGTGAACACGCTATGTGTCCTGCTCCAAGAACTGTCACGGGCTGTGGAGTCCCGCCACACAACTGATATCTTACCTGTGTCCGTGACAATGGTGGCAGCTTTAATGCCACTTGAATCATCTACAACATGCTGGGCTCGAAACCCTGCCCATGGGGCATTCAGAATTGTAACAAAATAGGATATTATTAATGTCTTAAGTGTGATGGTTACCAGTTCCCCATGGATGCATGGTCATACCAGCTAATGTGTTCAGGCACAGAAAGAATTTTGTCGCAGCACTGACTGAACAGCACCCATACAATGACACAATCACAATTCCCATTCAGCAGAGCGGGACCTGTAAGGGCATCTTAGTGATGTGTCATGCTCAGCGCACTTCAAACACATAAAAGACAAAAATTCATGTGGCGGTGCTACTATCATCATGCCATTTCTTTGTACACGAATGTATGTTCACACTTCTAAAAATACTTACGTTTCTTTATCAGCATCTTAAGTTTAACGGTCTCAGGAAACATTGCTTTTGTCAAGGGGCTTATAATTGCCCAAGTTACCATCAGATTAGTTTCTTTGCATGTCTTTAAGGACAGCTGAGCAATTAGAAGGAAAAGAACCAACAAAAAAACCCACAGTCAAAAAATGTAGCTTATATTAAGAATGAATTCTGATTTGACTGCCTGTGATATGTTTTCAGTAACTTCCTGAAACCTTCCAAGCTTCCAAGGTTTGCTAGCACAAATATAAAACTGAAACTAAAGCTTATGTATTAGATCTTTTTGTCAGAACAGATTTTAAGTTGTTTTCAGTTATAATAATGTCTGCATTTCGTGCTGCACTTGTTACTTACAAGTTTCATGCACTTAGGAAACAGAAATAGTTTCTAGGATTGAAAAAACAAGTATATTATTAGTATTTTCAAGAACTTTAGACAGAACCTTTGAAACTCCAGAAATATTTGTTAGAGAAATGTGTGAATAACTCTGGATTATGGAGTTTCTGAATAGCAGAGGTTTTAGAGACAACTTCTGCACAAACTAAAAAGCAGAATACCCCAATAATTAGAAAACATACTTAAATCAAATTTTACCCCCAAAAGCGCATAAATTGTGCTCCTACCTCTTCCAAAGCCCATAAAGAATCAACCACAGGCTTGATCTTCTTATTGGTATATAGATTGAGGAGTTTGTCCATCACAGCCTTGACCAGGCCACCTCGATTCTGTTTGAAAAGTAGGTTCAACAGAGAAAATCCAGCAATGACTTTGTTCTCCTCATACAGCTTGATGGGATTTACTTTCTCAACCTGCCACCACTGGAAAGCAATGAACAACAGCAGGGTTAGAAAAACACTTTTCAAGAAATGTACAGAAAAGTTCACAAGAAAACCATCTGGGCAGATGTGATACACGACTCATCTCTCAGATCTGAAGGAACAGCCAAGAGAAGCAGTAAGGATTTTATTTAAGAGGCAAAAAAGTATGCGGCTGACTGGCATGCGGAAATAAAACAGACTTGTGTTGCACGAGATTAGGGCATTATAAGAATGGTGAACAGATCTGGGTTTAGGACGTGGGTCTAGAACTCAGGAATTTACTGATCCATTTACTTTTCACCCATTATTATGTTTGTGATAGCTGAAGAAGCCTCATGATATCTAATGAAATTATTTTATCTCACTTTGCCCAAGAGCATCCTTGAGACTGAGATCCCACTTCCTAGCAAGTTTTGTTTGAATGGTTCAATTTTTAATCAAAGTTTTCATACAATTTTGATGACTTAATTTTACAGTATAATTACATGAACTAGTTATACATTCATACAAAATTTGACATACCATTTTTTAATTTATTCATATTTATTCAGTCAATAAACACCAGTGCCATCACAGAAACATTTCAGTGGAAATTATTTCGTTGGGCTAACCTACCCTCCAAATTACATGCAGGGGTATGTTTATGTTAACAGTAAAAAGGCTGAAAGATAAAGATTATCTTGTTTTCATTCCCAAACACATGACAGTAACAAAGATTGTGCCACTACAACCATTAAGAAAACGTAGGAGGCAAAAAGAAATGCTTCTTGCTGAAGTCTTTGATGTATCTTGTTTTCTATCATATAGAGACTTTTGAAGCTAATTTCTCCTGGGAAGGGCTTGTTGCGGGAAGCTGTAAATGAGCTCTGGGCACAAAGATTGTATGAGAGATCTTCAGTCAAGAAGATCTTCTCCCTCTGTTTTTCTTGTCTGAAGGAATCACTTTCACACCTGGTTAAATTACTTCTCACTAACAGCTTATTTGATGCATTTGTCCCCTTTTCAATCTCTGGGATTTCTGAGCAGATATTTGTTGTAGTAAGCTGAAGCAAAAAGTTAATATTTGCATTTTAGATTTGTTTACATCATCAATTAGGAAACAAATGCAACATCATCATCTCTTTGATGTTACTTAAAATAAACACAGAGAACTGAAAAATGTATTTCTGTATGGAACTAACTTCTGCAAAGCTGCATATGACTGGACACAATCTCCATCTTAAGAAAGATACCTCCTTTAGTATCTCCTTTAATTCAATGCACTGTCCTGACAGTGCGTTCAGATATGAAGAACCTACAGGGTACAGTTATCCATGGATATGATGTTCTGCCATAAGTAAATAAATAATGCAGTCTAACTTTAAACTTAGTTGTACAAGAGGTGTATGTCTGACAGCGAACAATTTAAATATGCATGGCACACAGATCCAATTCCTGTCTAACTGTCGTATCAGAAGAAAACATGTCAGACCACATCGCAGTCAGAAAAACACTCTTTTTAGCAACATCAGAAGTAACAATTTAGTAGACATAAATGAAAATGATAAAGATGAAAATGCTACAGAAAAGACTGACGTTAGAGGAAAGAGCAGAATCACAGCACTGGGACACTTACTGATTTTGCAAAACTGAAGAAGCTTTTTGTCTCCCCAGTAACCATGTTAGATGAACCTGTAAAAGATGAGCACATTCACACAAAACTTACTACATGCTAACAAACAGACCATTTTTTAGATGTAAAATAATTTCTATGATTCATATTTAAGAAAAAAAAAATCTCCCCAGGTTTAAAAGGGATTAGTAGACATCCTTATACTTTGGGAATATATAACAACGAGGCCAAGGTGACTGAGCCCTGCAAGTTTACAGGTGTTCCAAGATGACAAAAATGATCTATCAAATCTTCCAAAACCAGGAACAGGTTAAGTGCTACTAGGGGTCGTGACACCAAAACTCTTCTATAGCTCATTCACTCTGTGGAAAAATGCCATTTGTCTCTGACACACTATGATTTAGCAGCGATAACATTTATCTGACCACATGTGTGAACGTACACACATTGTACACTACAACCTGTTAAGAAGTGTAATGAGAATCCCCTGGCAGGGACTTAATTACAAACAGGCAACCAGGTTGGCTTGTACAGTTGTCCTGGTTGGAATGACACAGGACTAATTTCTCTTCTAAAACTTGGGGAGACTGCACTTCGAGAAGACTCTAGTGTCTGAATTTGTGAAAATATTTACTTTATAGCTGGCTATGGTATACAAATTTTAAGGTCTCAGTGTTTTCGAGCTCACCAGGTGCAGGGATGAGGAGGAGGAAGACCCGGGCACTTGACCCAAGCTGGCCAACAGGATTATTTCATACCATTATTTCATTCCCTTCCTCCCCAAGCTGCAGCACCCACAGTGTCCGACATTTACCATCCCCTGCTGGGAGTGCACAGCTTCCTAGTGATAGAATGGGCTGAGTATAATCCTTGTATATTTTACATTGGTATCGGGATCAATACTGGTTCTGCAGTGTTATTAATGTTAATTATCTAGTCTTATTCTATTATACCTGCTTATATTTCAATATAAGCAATTGGGTTTCCTTGTTTTTTCCCAGTTCCCCTTCCCAGGTGGGGAGGGGTCATCGGATGATAGAATGATAGTCTAAATGACAATAAATTGTTATGGGTTTCTCAAACCATAACAACAGTCCAAGCGGACATCCGAGTGACAATGCATTCGTTATTGCCACCCTGCTAGCTAGATGAAAGCCCAAGGAAGCGGGTATGCTTATCCACGATGCCACTGCACCTCCACTGCAATACAGACACATTCTTCAATTCCAAATTTTAGCAACCTCTTCAGCTGTCCTCCTACAGAAGCTTGGCCTGCTTTATCAACACACAACATGGCAACCTGGCAGAACTGCAGGAAAGACATGTTTACTCGGTATGTGGGGCAGTCCATGTACGTGAACAGAAGCCTGGGCTTGAATTCCTCAGAGTCATGTCA